AAAAAAAACACTCAGCCAAAATGAAACAACAATAAAACATTTAAAAAACAACCAAACGTCCTATAAAACGCCATTTTTGTGGATACTTCCATCACACTCTCTCTTAACCTTTGTCTTCCTGAACCTGCTGCGACACAATGCTAATGAGTCTAATATAACCAGCGACAGGTTATTGGGATAATAAATATTTATGTTGGAGGATGATCCCTAAAAGAGTTAAAGAGCTCTGTCATCATTAGTCCCAAACATTAACAAAAGTCTCTTACTCAGTTAATTCCACTGATACTGTTATACACATCTGTGTAGAGATGCATGCCCACTGTTTGTGCAATCCTCAGGCCACCGGAGGAGGCTACGAGGGTGATGAGTACCAAAATGCAGAGCTCATCTTCTTGGACATCCAGAATATCCACGTCATGAGGGAATCCCAGAAGAAACTCAAAGATATCGTCTACCCCAACGTGGAGGAATCCCACTGGCTGTCCAGCCTAGAGTCCACACACTGGTTGGAACATGTAAAGGTGACAGGTTTCTACGTGCATTTGATAACTGCGCTCAGTCCATTTACATTACCTTGTTATAATAATGTATTTTTATTGCATTGTGCCAATCCTTGTACTCAGCTGGTGTTGTCAGGAGCCATCCAAGTTGCAGACAAAGTGTCCAGTGGGAACTCAGTAGTAGTTCACTGTAGTGACGGCTGGGACCGAACTGCACAGCTCACCTCTCTGGCTATGCTGATGCTGGACAGCCACTATCGCACTCTCAGAGGATTCCAGGTCAGTCGTCTCACCCTCGTGAACATGAGCTTAGACATTCACAGAGGATATGAGGAGCACAGCAGGCTTTAATTTCATCACGATGCCTGTTTGATATTTAAAAGTTGTGATTTTTTTCATCTCTGTCTTTTTTAGGTTTTGATTGAAAAGGAATGGATCAGCTTCGGCCACAAATTTGCCTCCGTAAGTTTTTCACCATCTAGTTTCTGAAATACATTCAATCGCATGAGTTAAGACGACTGATCAGGAGGAAACGTTTCTGATCT